ATCTCATTGTCCCTCCTGTCTCTTTAATTAGTGCCCATCCTCCCCCTTCTCTCCCTCACTCCAGTGTCCCCCCTTCCCATCTCCTTTCAGCACTTGGTTTGCAGCGCTCTATTATTTCACCTTTCACATGTGCCGCCTCCTTCGCCTGGGCCCATCTGACACCTCTGCCTTACACTCATCATGGAAACATAACATTTAAATACAAATAGAACAGGGAATAATTTAACCCCTATTTGCACTGGGGAAGGTGCCAAGACTGCATATAAACACCGCAGGGAGGTCTATAGATGTTGTGTATTTATCTGACAAGTTGTGTTTCTTCACCACAGTGCCTTGCAGCCAGCTTTTCCTGACAGGCACAAGCCTCCACTCCTGGCAGAGTGGTCAAGAAGAGGGAAGCCTGGTTCCACAGAGGTATTGGAAATGTGACCAAAGGGACATCTCTGGGAACTCTGATTTGCCATTGCAGTGGTCTTTCTCTCCCTTCCTGTCCTCCTGTGAGGATCTTGGAGTGCTGCCTTCTGTCACTGATTTATTTATGGAAAAATGGGGCAGACCTAAGAAGAACCTAATTTTCAGTATTATCAGAATTCTCCAGCAAAAACCTTCTTAGCCCTCCTTTGTGCCACCACACACAAAAATATCCACCCATGGACATTTCCATGGCAAAGCGAGGCATGATGGACTCCGTTTGTAGAAAAGGACTGATAATGGGGTATACAATGATGAGGGAAGACAAAAACATTAGAAGAGGCTCACATGGACACCATACTCAGTTGCAATGTTGCAGAGCAGTATCACTGCTCATAGTGGTGACAGTTTCAGGGACATTGCTGCAGCAAGGTTAGTAGAGAGTCCTCAGATGAGACAGAAACTGAAATTGTGACTTGGGAGAATGTAAAAGACAGAAATTTGGACACGTTGTTCCTCACAAAAGCAAAGGGAAGATGCTCAGATATGAATGTATTCTTGATGCACAGCCATGTGAGGCCTTGAGGAGGCTAAATGGAGCACATTTATTTCATCACACCTGTTCTTAGACACGCTGAGTAAGCTCACTGTCTTCATTCCCCTCAGAGGGAGGAGATGGAGGATGCTCCTCCTGGGTGCCCATCTCCATTGAGCAAGACTGTGGTACTGCGAGGTACAACTGCCTCTCTATGGTCACAGACCAGTTTAGGTTAGAGCACAAGGTCATGTCTACAGCTCATGCTGGGGACATCCCAGATCATGGGCTCATGCCTGGCCTCTTTTCATCTTTCTCTTCTGCCCTGGACAGTGATGTCTCTGCTCTCTTTGACTGAGTGTTCACTTTTGTCAGAGACCCATGTCTTAGGAAGCCTGGTCTGAAGATTTTTTGGCCCACAGTCCCACAGTCTGAAATAGCATTGAACATGGAGCCTGGCAGTGGAGGAGTTAGGGGACTGAGTCTGCCCAGTGCACTGAAATTTAGGCGTGGATCCTGAGGCACATGTAGTGGGAACAATGTCTCACTGAAAAAGGAGGAAGCATGGGACTCAGGATGTTATATATGTGGATTATTGTTGGTAGAGATGAATCCTACAGGCAGGAAGAGCTTAAGGGCAATATCATCTAGGACTGCTCTAGGCTTGTGTGTAGCCTAAAACTCAATTTTTTGTATGATGCAGCACCCTCAAATCCCACTAGAGGACACTGGAAACAACTGGTGAGGAGCACCAGTGGTGTGCACACATGCTCAAGATGCACCTTGATGACATCAGCACATCCCCTCTTCATTTTATTCTTGCAAACTCATGGCATTTTTTTAGACATATTTACAATTCATAAGTACTCTTCTTGGTTTTTGGCATGTCAGTTTTTTGTCTGGGATGTGGAAGAACAGTGTATGATGATGCTCAGGGTGTAACAGGCTCATAAAAGACCATTAGAGGATAAACTCATTAGCCAAGACCTAGAACACATTAAATGGTCCCTTCATCTGGACTCTTCCCTCCCTTTTTCTATTCAGGATATGTGACAAGTGTTCTTAAAACACAGTGTTGAGTTCCCTGAAAGAGCTGGAATGTGAAACACAAATGCAGCACTTTGTTATAGAAACTACTGAAAGTAAAAAAAAACTTGTTAAATCAACTCATTTTTTATCAGTCTAGTGTGTGATTGTGTAGAGTTCTGAGAGGGCAGATATAAAAAATTATTCCCCTGACTACACAGGGTGGATTTTCAGGAGGGAGACAGGATGCTGGTTTGGGGATGGAGTTGGAGGTGATGTCCAAGCAGTGGCTGTTCATGGGGATCCCCTTCATGCCATCTCCCCTGGACCAGCAGCTCTTGGGGGAGATGATCCTTCCCTTTGATAGAGCCTGCCCCTGATGGTCAGATGACCATCTCATGGGCAGCTCACCAAAGCACCACATCATCTGCCAGCCAGTGCAGTCCCAGGGTACTGCAAAGATGCAGCGTGGGGGGATGTAAAAATAATAATTTGAGCAGTTCCTAAAACACCTGGTTTCAGCTTTGCATAAACTAGACCAGACAAGGCTGTTTCAGGCCAGTTCCACACTACAGAGTTTTGCTGACAGAAGAGGGATGTGATTTTTTTTTTTTTTTTAATGATACATTTATATTAGCAAAATGTCTGGTGAAAACAGTTACACAGCTAGAGGAGTGTTTTTGCTGATGCAGCTTATTTGAAACAGGGAAAGCTGTATAAAGTGCAAAATAACACTCTTCTGTTGTGCTGGAAGTATTTAACAGACAAAGTTTCTAGGCAAAACCTTTTGCCAATCATGTTCCTAGTTCTTTCCAGCTGATCTGCCCCCTTCCTAATATATCTTGTAGGAAAGTTGGTCCCATTGGCTAGGTAGATTTTCCTCCAATAGCTGGAAAAGCTTTAGACTTCGGACTGGATTAGTTCAGTAAGGCTCTATCATGCACTAGACTGAAAGATACACCCCAGAGCACACAGTGAACTTTAGTAGCTGTTTCTCTAAGCTTGTACCTCACATCTTGGAGTCCCTTTTGTGGGACACATTGGCCATTGGGAAAACACGCCTTTCACGTGTCCAAATCACCTTTTTGTGACGTCAGGACAACCTAAGAGCTGCGTGGTTTTAGGTGAGGCTTTGTGCACCACTACAATCTGAACTTTTTGTTGCCCAGTGAAGACCTCAAAACACCTCTCTGCATAATAAATTCCAACATAAAGTAGTAATATTTCGTACTTTAATAGGTCTACTAGAAGGCTATTTCTGTTTTTCTCACCTATCATAAGTGTTCCTGTATCTCTCTAAACCTATCTTTCCTACCAGTTCAGCAGCCTAGTTGAAGGCAACATAATTCCTGCTTTTCTGTGGGCAGTACACTTTTCGCTGTCATGGATAACTCGACTGCAGGGTTGAAAGCTCCTAATATCCTCATTCAATAGCCACTGCATGAAAAATTATTCACATCCAAGGCTATAAAATAATTTGCCAGTGTGCGGGTGCATCTTGGAGAGGGGAATTTTGATCAAACACTGGTTTGAAGCAGAACAGACTGCCTACTCTAGTGATTTCTCTGTGAACAAAAGTGACATGAATTACCCAATTAGTCAGCCAGAAAAGGGTTATTGCAAACCAGTGTTTTGTTCAGCTTTAGGTTAACCTGTACACTAAAAAAATAAATTAAATTTAAAAAAATTATTTAGATATTTACATGTGTTTATTCAAATTAGTTGCGTCTGCTCTGTAACGTGCTCTGAAAAAGCCCTCTTAGTTCACACATTTACATAGTGTTTAATGAATCATAAATAAGACATTTATGAATCATGTGCAAATGGCCTGTTTACATACACAATGTAAACTATGTAAATTTCCTTTTTTTCTCTGTGTAATGGTAGTAGTCTTTGAACAGAAACCTGATTGAAAGGCATCACTCAGCCCCCTCTGAGATCCTTCTGATAATAATTGTTTTCACCAATATTTTCTGGAGGTGTCTCTTGAAGATCCCCAAACTTGGTTTAAGTCCAAGTATAAATCATAGAATCATTTGGGTTGGGAGGGACCCTGAAGATCATCCAGTTCCAATTCCTCCTCTGGGCTGACTCCAGCAGGTCCCTGTCCCTCCCGTGCTGGGAGCCCAGGGCTGGATGCAGGGCTCCAGGTGGGTCTCAGCAGAGCAGAGCAGAGGGGCAGAATCCCCTCCCTCCCCTGCTGCCCACGGGGCTCTGGACGCAGCCCAGGACACGTTTGGTTCTGTGAGTGCACAGTGCTAACTCAAACTGAGCATACTTTTTCAAAACACAATTACCCACTAGCAGAAAACATCCTGCTTTGGCATGAAATACCACCTACCTGAGCTATCTTAGATATTAACAATTGTATAACTTAGCTTTATATTTCAAAAACAGATTAAATTTCAAAAACTCTGGGCTTATTTCAAATGAACTTTATATTAAAAATCTCATCAAAACTTGTAGATACATGTCTCTGAGTGGGCAAGAATGACAAATCTCCAGTTTACAGGCTGTGACTTCTGGTTTATCCTGATTTTAAAAAGCTTATGTTAAATATTTTTTTCCTGCAACTCATTTAGTATTGTGAGGGCTACTAACTTATGTTATTTTTCATTTGGAATTGGTTCCAATATACTATATTTATCACATTTTTCTTGGATTGCAGTCTGAGCAGTGATGTCATTTCAATTACTGCAAACTGACTGCAAAAACTGATCAGAAGAGGTTGATTTGGAAGATTTTGGTGCCTAGATTTTAAGAGGCAGATAATGATTTTATAAATAACCAAATAATTTTTGTCTGTTGTTTGGTGGTTTGCTTTTTCCAAAATTTGCTGGATTATATTCAAATGCTCATGTGACATCAGAGGCTGTTAAGTTTTTTCGAGCTAGACACCTGAAAAGACTAGCAGCTTCTGGATATGTCACCTTGGTGAAGTCACCGTTTGTGTTGCATGTGATACTGAGCCATCTTGACTTTCACATCCCTCCTGAAATATGGTAAGCATCTCTTTATTTTGTTCCAGAAGATAGAAAACTCTTTGTGGGCATGCTCAATAAGCAGCAGTCGGAAGATGATGTGCGCAGGCTATTCGAGGCGTTTGGCAACATCGAGGAGTGCACGATCCTTCGGGGACCCGATGGCAACAGCAAAGGTAAGGGGTGGCTTGTGCTGAGGTAGACCCTGGTCTTCGTGTATATATCATTTTCTGGTGTGACAGAAGTATCATGCAGCCCCCAGAACAGCACGTCTTGCTGTAGGAGGGGGCACATTTTTACTCTGCTGGTCACTCTCTGCTTGTGCATCAGAGGAAAAAGCTGATCACATTGTAAAACACTTATCTCCAGTGGGCTATGGGTTACCACATGCAAACTGATGCCTCCCCTCTGAACAGGGCCTTTACATTCACTCAAGATATGCTCTCCTGACCCCGTTGAACAGGATGACTCATTCTTTAAAGAAAGCCAATATTGGTACATTATATCTTGGCACTCCAGCTCCATCATCATCCACCAGCCCCAGGTCTTCCTCTTCTTCACCTGGTCTTTGCATGGACTCATACCAGCCAGTGATTGCAGCTGCAAGGGTACAGGTGCCAGTTTAAATATAACACTCATTACACATTTACTGTTTGAAACACACAAATACCTCATTGCAAAACTAGGTGCGTTTCCTCCTTCTGCCCCTTTTTTTTTTTCACATGGGTAGCAAAAAAGATCTGCTAGAGCTCAGGCATGAGAGTAAGGCTTCTTTCTTGTACAGGAAGGTCACATTTTTCTTCCATAAGTCTCTTAACAAAGTATCTTCAATCTGAGTAGAAAACCCTCTCCTCCTGGCATCTAATGATAGCATAAACTGTTATTGGCATGTGCAACACCAGAGAAGAGGCTAGTCCTGATGACACAGTTCTTATCTCACTGCATATTTTGACAAGTGACAACATCAACCAGCACATTTTTGCAACAGGGAGTCAAAAAAATCCAAATTACAGTGATGCACTGGAGAAAGATATTGTTATTCCATAAAATCACTGGTGGCCAAAAAAATACTTTACACCAGCCTCATAGCTGTTCAACACACATCAGCACAGATCAGCCTTCCTGATATAAATGGCTGAAAATAAGCTGCAGACACCTTTTTTCAGTTTTGGGGTTACTTTATTTCCACAACACTCAAAGACAGGGGCTGGCCCACAGGGAAGTAATAGGCTAGGATGTCCTAGAAACACTCCAACCACCATAACAGCAGACAGTTAAACATGCTATTCACTGAACAAATCAGTAAATTGGGGAAAAACAAAAAAACCCCCATGTCTGTCTGCTTCCACCTGTAATGAAATCTAATGACAAAGGAGTTAAACAGAGTAATAATAAAGGCAATAAAGTCTGAGTTCTGTAAGAAACAAATTCCAGATGATATCCAACCCACAGACTTGTCCTCATACTTTCTCTGTCTTTTTTTCCCTTCTAAAACAATTTCATTTTAAGACAGAATCTGAGTGGCAGCTCCATATTGCTAACCAGTTTAATTATTAGTGCTAGCAGGCTGCAGTCTCAGGCTGACGTTTCACTGAGCTGTTCAGGATCAATACTAAGCCTTGACACAGTTAATATTACCAGCTTCCATTTGCTGGTGCTATTTACTGAGAATGTGAAGCTCCTAATTTACACACACACGGTTTCGTGTATGCACACATGCACACAGAGCAGTCAATCCAATGGCAAAACTTAAGGCTAGTGCCCTTATCTTAGAAGATAGTCAGGCAAGCCACAACTCCCACAAACTTATTCCCAGTCTGTAATGTTTTCCATCTGCTAGAAACCAATATGTGACACACATTGCTTGTGAGATACTTATTTTGGGTAAAACCTGTAAGGCTTAAATTCTACGTAAATTGAGATTTAAGCAGATTGTCTAAATTCCAGATAGCAGTCAGATCCCATGCACTTAAATCCTGCCCAGCCCACTAGGTATCCCTGTGGTGAGCCTCTACACCCTTCAGATAGCTCAGTGCAAGCACTGCTCTCAGAAGCTGGATAGCAGATCCCCAGTTTAATCCCATCACAGTCCAGGCATAGCCAAAAAGCTGCCTAAGCCTTTCCTGAAGCCGTGGGTGCTCTCCTGAGCCATGGGCCATGGCCTTCAGGGTCTGCAGAAATACCCCCTGCATGAGTTGCAGTGGTAGGAAGAGTGGCTGGAGCAGGTAACCAAGTGTCAGAAGAGCTGGGACTGAGGAATTTCTCACCCTGAAGGGGAATACAACACCTGTGTTTCCTGGGAGAGGATGGAGTGCTTCTGCACCACTCCAGGTAAAGCTCATCTGGGTCCAGGAAGGAGTGTAGGACTTCTCAGGTGAGGGACCTGACATGCATCCAGAAGGACCCACAGAGTCTTCATTGCTGCTGCTGTCTGTGCAGATATACTTTTTCTCTTTCTAACTTTTTCTCATTCAGAATTCTGCCTCAGTAACTCAAAAAGCAAAAATTTCCAACAGCACCCTCCACAAGAAGAGACTTACCCTCTGCAATTACAATCTTAGGGCCTGAGTCTGCAGTCTCCTCCAAGCTGACAAAACAATCAGGGCAGCCCTTCCAGCCCTAGTCTGGAAGCAAAGGAACAAGAAAATCTTAAGCACATGTATCACCCTGTTCAGCAGACGTTATATCTCTGTGTGTGTCAAAATCCCTTCACACTGCAGAGTTGATCCTGTCAAAAGGACACCGGTCTTCAGAGAAGAGTGACATGACTCACATCCTCAGCTCACCCACTCCTGGAGGCAGGTCTGGTGACAATGGGGAGGAAGATTATGTGCACTTCTGGTGTTGTGTTCAGAAGCCATCTAATTGAATGCACAAACAAAAAGGACAAAATGTTGAGATCTCTGCTATTGCCTTGCCATTTACACCAGTAAAAACTGAGTTTTCACTCATCCTGCTACCTCAAAGCCTACTGGAAGCAGTTAATAGAAAGCATTAGGAGGGATCCCATTAGCATCCTGACCATTAAACAAGATAAATGCCTGCTATTCCCTTTATTCCCACCTTTATCTAGCTCCACTGATCCATCAGGACCGTCAGCACAGGGGTGAATTTCACCTGACAAGAGTGAAGCCTTCAACATGACAGCAACACCACAGCCAAAAATCCTGCTCTAAATGAAATTGGTGACTGGAACTGGAAAGCTTTTGTATATTTGCTAATCACATCTTCTTTTTAGAGGCAGAAAGTACAAAAGAATCTCTGCAAATAATTAAACACCCTAATTCTGGATTATCTCTGATTAATGAATAGGAAGACGCAGTATCTCAGGAGCCTGGGAATGCTGGGCTGGGATTATGTCATAATTGATCCCTATTGTTTCCAGATGAAGTTTATCTATCTCATTTTCTCATGATTGTCTCTTCTCAGCTCCTTAAAAATTAGATCCAACTATTAGCAATAATCATTGGGCCTTTCCTGAAATACAGTCTGAGCACAGTGCTGAGAGGGTGATGCAAAGTGAACAGTGCTAAAGTGAACTGTAAGATATTTTAGATGTGTATATTGTTTTTAGAAAGGGCTATCACTACTTTCTTCAATCTCGCTTCTATCAGCCTGCAGTGATGATTTTAGGGACCTTTGGGGTTCATTCTTCTACTTTGCATGTCTTCTACTTCACGCTGCACTGTAGAGATCCAAAAGGGTGTGAAGACTTTCTAAACATGCTGCAGAGGGGCTGAAGGGGAGTCATCCCACTGTCAGAACTGACATCCCATTGCCCTGCAATCTGCACCTCTTCAGGAAAACTGAGAGGGCTTTGCAAATTGATTAAAAGCTCAAAAGTCATTGATAGTAATACTGCCAAAACTTCTCAGATCTCTCCCAATCTGTTCCAGAAACTGCCTTAGCATATGGAAATTACCCTTCCCATCTATGAGTCAGTTTACTGGTAGCTGGGAGTGTTGGCAATACTTTCCCCCATCCTAGAAGTGTGTGTAACGCTTTGAAGTGTTGATCATTTCTGCACTCCAGCACATATCCATAAATTCACCTTTCTGCCCTAAAACCTTATGTAAGGATTGAGTGTGAGATTCCCCACACAGCAATACAGGCCAGAGAAATACTGCCCACATTTCTCTAATGTCCACAAGAGAACACCTACACAGGCATTGACTTTGCAGCTATGAAAAACTAAGATTCAAGTTTTAATGGTGGCAGGATGGTAATCAACATATGGGTACCTCTTCCACCTCTTCTACTTCACCAGAAGGTGTCTCATGCTTTGCCAGACCTAAGTGGCTTGGAGCCAAGAGGAGCTCTGGGCAGTCTGTCACAGAGCTCTACCAAGCAGTGATATGATAAGGTACCTTGTGGGTTTGGAGTAACTTGCATGCCTTCTGTACATTTGTCCTGTGGTTGCTTGTGTCACGAATGTGCAGCTTTCCAGTAACTTGCAAATGCTCCCATGTTGTTTCTCACAACCACAGAGGGAGGAAAACTCATCATTAGGTCTAATATAAATAAAAGAAACAGCTTTTTCACTCAATAAATTGTAAAACTGTGCAAGATTCTGCCATGGAAAGCTGTGGACATCAAAACATGACTGGATTCAAGATGTACTTGCTAAGTTTGTGTCTGTCAGTATTTATTACAAGCAATGTGGGAATTCTGGAAGCAGCTTAGCCTTAAGAGGTCCTCAGGCTACTGAAGTCTGGACTCTGGAAAAGGATCAGGACATATTTTTTTGTTATACTTTCTTCACAGCCATATTATTGGTCAGCTCTAAGGACAGGATACTTATCTAGATGGAATTTCATGGTGTCCATGCAAACTTTCTTATGCTCTTCTTTTTCCTCTTCCAGGGTGTGCATTTGTGAAATATTCTTCACATGCAGAGGCCCAAGCTGCCATCAACGCCTTGCATGGCAGCCAGACAATGCCGGTGAGTAGCTCTGTAACTCAGACAAGTGAGAACTGGGCCAGCCCTGGCTGCCCTGTGGCCTGATTGAGGAGGAGAAATTATTTATCTGTGCTCATCTTCCATGAAGGCCCAGGGCCTTGGGTGTGCTTAACTCATCAGAGGAAAGGCTGGGATGGCACTGTCATTCCTCACAGGCACAGAACCCCAGTGGGTGCTGTGTTCTGTCACCAGCAGTTTTGATGGCCTGATAAAAAGACTTAATTCTCACACATGCCAAAAAGTTTGGGTCAGACTCACCATGGGCAAAACATTTCAAGTTTCAGAGAAATGAATCAAGTAGAAACTGATGTGTAAGGGTTTTTTCATTTTCCCTCCTCAGAGAGTCCTTGGCTCTAGGCAAAGGATAAAGAACTTTTTGCCAGCACTTAGCAGAGAGAAGCATGTTCACATCATGGTAGTAGGGGCTAGAGACAAATCACAACAGTGATGGGTGCCTGTCTCTGTTACCACAAAAGTACCAACCTAGGCACAGGTTTGGTCCCCTACATTTGCACTTTGAAAGTGTGTAAGACCAATTACTGAATCTTCCAGGAAATATCTGAAGGATCAGTCCACTTGCACAAATTTCTAGTCATATGCGGTTTCAAGGCTGATTGTTCACTTAAATAGAAATGGGGTTGTATTTCTATGCAAATAGCTGTTAGTACACCACCATGAGAAGAGGAGGATATAAGACATTCCACTGTCAGTAGGAGAAGAAAATCTGGTACAACTTGTTTTGGTTTATTATAATAGTGTATTATATTATATTTATTACTAATTATTCACAGTGTAAATCATGGAAGGCTAAGAAGCATGTTGACAACTTGGAAAGGATACAGGAAAGCTCAATTTAAAATATTTGAGAGTGTAAAATCTCCCTTTCAGTAAGAGACTCTAATGTAAATTAATGAATTTATCCAAATAAGTTTAAAGTGGGGCCGACAGATTTTCTCTAGATCTTTGCAGGGATGAAAAAGGAAAATTCTTTACAAGCAAAAAGGTTTCTAAAACTAGCAAACTATCAAGTTCTCATTTTTTGGAACCCCATCTTAGACAAATCAGTTTAAAAATGGTACATGTTTACCAGTGATGGTACCAAAATAGTCTCCTCAAATATGGGGTCTCCATTTCTTGAAGTACTTAAATACTTTTAAGAGTTGCTTCTGAAAGGGCTCCTCCTGAAAAAACAGATGTTGGGCTTGATGCTGACATACCATACTGATATATTATGGACATCTTTCCTGAAACAGGTTAAAGAGCTACTTTTAGTGACTTTCTTTCAAACTTTGACCAAAAGTGATAGTGTCTATAAGCTGACATCAAGAATTTCAATTCAGTAGGATGTGGTGCCACAAAAAGGTTTAGTAAAAAGTCAGTCCTCATCCCAAAAACCCTGCAAATTCCTGTGACAAAGGCAAGAGGCAGACATGAAAAAACAGACAAACCCAAGGAGAGTTAAAGATTTTCTCTAGATCTAGTATACCCAAAATATCATTATTCCTCCCCAAGCCTTTCCCTTGCTACTTTCATAACACTTTGGATTAGAAAAATATAGTCATCTCACAGCCACCTGGAAACAACTTATGGCTCCATCCTGGTGATATCACCTGAGCTTAGGAGATACAAAACACCTGAGAACTTAGCCACTTCATGGATCAATTTTATGCGACCATTTGTCCTCTTGACTTATCTGAATCAAACACCTGTTATAGAAATAGTCTTTAATAACCAGAGCTAGGCATCTGTACAAGCAATACAATTTCTCCTTTACTAGATGACCATCCCAGACTCAGAATCAAGTTTCCATAGCTTCACAAGATGTCCATGGATTGGCTGAACCTCACAGTACATACTAACAGTTCACAGAAAAAGCAAGGAGGAAATTAATTTCCTCCTGTTCACTATAACGTAAGTCACATGGCATTGCATCTCCCATGAGCTACAAGCAGGCACAACACTGCTATCATATCTTTGTAGACCTGTGAGGACCTGCAGAGTAACCAAGACTCAATGAAGACGTGAAGCACAACAGGTTTTTCCCCATAGTGGCTCAAAATTTTTGAGGTTCTTTGAATGAGATAGGCCAAATCCTGCCAGGATCTCTGTGCCCATTCTTGTTTTCATGGTAGTTTGGGGCCTGCACCATTGCTCAGAACTTACTTGGACGTTCACAGGGAAATGCAGCCACCTCGTGGTGAGATGTCGACGCAGCCCATTGTGCTTGGGAAGGAGGGGGGCATTTCTGCCATCTTCCTTCAGCCCCCTTCCATTCCTCTCGCCACTAGGACTAGCCCCATTTGTCCGGTTGCAATGCCAAGTCAACATTGCTCCTGTGGCTCAGCCAATTTTAGCATCTCCTGGATTGTCCTCATGTTCCACCAGCAGGGTATCCATCATCATTCTTGTCAGGTCTCAAGACATTCGTTCCTGTGGCAGACTCCTGTTTCTCCACAGCTGTCACAATTATTGCTCTACTGTGATTTCCTGTTCACACAACATATGTTGCCTAATAGTTTCAAAAGGCAACTTTCTTTTATGAAAGTTCCATTTTTTTTTAAATTAACTTTACCTTAGACAAGTGCCTGACCATCGTCCGTTACAAACCCAGTTCTCTATGTAAGGTACTTGTTTCTCCTAAGAGTCCACCAAGTCTAAATCTTTTCAATATTTACACAATCAATTTCCTTTAGAAATAAGCTACCAAAAAGCCCCTACTTTTGAGCAGGCACAAAGTTCCTTATATACTTACATGTCAAGAAAGCTTTCTTTTTGTCTTTTTAGATCATATTTTCTATTAGCTCATCAACTTTATAAGACTGTTTTACTGGATCTCTGTATCATCCTTTATAAGAGATCATAATCTTCACGTACTTTTGCTTGTATTTATAATATATTTACAATAATTATATGTCCTGTACTTTTAGCTTTGATTTCTCTGTCCCCTCCTGTCTCTGTTTCCCATCCATATAGGGACATAAACAGGTATCTTCCTATCATTCTCTTCTCTTCTTCATCCAAGCCTTGTCCCTAACAGCCTTTTCCACCAACACAAATTCAGCTGCTATTGCTGTCATGACAGCTTGCAGATCTAATTTCTCTGCTTCAGGACTGACTCCTGTCCAACCCAAAATCTTGGTCAATCTTTCCAGCATCTCCTGGTGGATGTTTAGCTGTCAGAACAATATGTATAAAACAGAGCTCTTGAACTTTTCCACCCAAAACCTGTCTTTTCTATCCTCCACCTTCATTCTCAATCACTGTGGACAATGTTATCATTCTTGTCAGTCAAGACAATGTCAATATTATCATCACTTGTCAGTCATGCTCCTTCCTAGGCATCATCCTCAGCTTGGTTTTCTCCTTCTCCCCATGTCTTCATATCTGGACAACAGCCGAATTGCAGAAGAGTCATTCTGCAGAACACATCTTACTAACCAAAGATGTGGTCTTGTCCATCCACCCAAACAGAACAAACTTCCCAAAACTTCATTTGAACTATTATATAATGGTTTGGATTGAAAGGGACCTTAAAGATCATCTACATGTCATTAGAAGGAGTAGAGACACTTCCAACTGGACAGGTTGGTCAAGGCCTTGTCCAAGCAGGCCTTGGTAACTTCCAGGGATGGAGCACCAACAGCTTCTCTGGGCAGCAGGCTCCACTATCTCACCACCATCACATAACAAATTTCTTCCTAACAGCTGACCTAAGCCTGCCCTCTTTCAGTCTGAAGCTATTCGCCTCTGTCCTGTCACTCCAGACCCTTGTCAAAAACCCCTCTTCAGCTCTCTTGTAGCCCTTTAGGCACAGGAAGGTGCTATGAAGTCTCCCCAGAGCCTTCTCTTCTCCAGCCTGAGCAACACCAACTCTCTCAGCTATCTTCACAGAAGAGGTGCCCCAGTCCTCTGAGCATCTTTGGGGTCTCTTCTGGGCCCAATCCAACAGGTCCATGTCTTTCTTATGTTTGGGCCTCCAGAGCTGGATGCAGCATTGCAGGAGGAGTCTCAATAGAGTGGAATAGAGGGCAGAATCACACATATTTAAGTCACAGCAGCTATTATTGTACCCAGAAGCTAGACAGGGTTAAAAAATCTCACCCACTGTGAAAAATCGGAATTTCTTTGGTTATGAATTCATTCTTGGAAGGGGTAGAACTGTACTGTCTACATTTCCTGCACAGGGGTGAGAAGAAGTGAAGAATGTTATGTGCTTGACTTTAACAATCTGAAAGTTTGTGACCTATTCTACATATTCCGGTATCTCTGCAGAAAGGATAGAGAGACATTTCCTGAGATTTGTGCATTCTTCACTTTTTCTGTGCTAGGATATATTCTGGGCAATATCACCTTCTGGACATGCCTCTCCCATTGTAATGGATAACTCGATAATAGACTTAGAGTGAATACATGAGGTGGGACTCATCTAACCTAATTTGAGACATCCAGAAGTTAAGAAACTCATGTCTGAAGTTGTCATCTGAGTTTGTCATCTAAGTTTTTCTTATAATCAATAGAGGGAAATAGATACCTCTGGAGAAATTTTATTTTAGGGAAATAGATTTTGAAACCTGTCAAACTAATAGGCAAGCCCAAATAGAAGTGTGCTTTTTAGCTAATTTTAGGCATCAATTTGCTATGGTACTCCAGCTGCAAAATAGTGGTTCTTCATTCAAAGGGCAACTTAGAATGAAAAAAGGACCAGAGTAAAAAAAAGAGACCAGTGCTTAAAAACTAAAGCTAAAGCCAGTGCAGCTTAAAGTGAACACTTCACATGCAATGCAGGGAGACCTGATATCTGTCTTGGATGTTTGTTGCCCAGATAAAGCAATTTGGGATTCAGAAACCAGAGTCCCCTGACTCCTGTTCCATTAGCTGTGCTGTGAACTTGCTTAACACACTAATTGTCAGCACCGTATTCATTCCATATCTTTCTGTAATTAATGATGCTAAAGGACATCAAGGCCTCCAGCTTCTGTAAG